AGAAATATAGTAGCTCAATGCCTAGAAGATCTTGATTAGGTTAAAACCGAAACCAAGACATTCACTCAGATGCATATTCAGCGCATTTTCTAGACGGACAAATACGACTGCTACACTCGTGTCACACAAGAGATTTATAGAAAGCCATGCAAAGTTAAAACAGTTTAAACTTTTAGAAAACACGTCACGAATTTGTGAAGGTTTATTCCTTTTCACTGCATCTCATATGTTTTTAAAGGCAATCTGTGTGATGGGGGATTCTGCTCTTTGTATTAAGCAATGCATAAATACGTGATGTTTTGCATAACTGTTTATGCAATTTACAAAATTATATTTGATTTATAGGAGTTAATTTAGACGTAATGCACGTTTTTTTTTATAGACAGTTACTTCCTTGCGTTGACAATTTAATGTGCTGCATTATTTTGCTCATTGCGCCCTCCTGTGGCCTCGGGAGACAAGCCAAAAGTTTAACCCATTTAAACATTAGAAATTAGATAGGTTTAATTTTTATTTAGTTTTTGACTTAAAACAAAATTATTTGCTGTTCGTCTCAATAAATTGAGTTAATTTGAAAATACAGTGGTTAAAATGTAAAAAAAATTTCCTATTGCTCTTTGTTTAAAAAAAAAAAGTCAATAATTATCAATACCAAACTATATGAAATTTTCTATAGATTTTGCAGAGTAGCAATTAACATCCTTCTTCACTTGAATAAAATACGAGAGCACAACACAACAAAAACCTAGCCTGGCAACAAACACAATTTGACACAAAGGCATGTTGTAACTTGAAATAACATGAACCGACAGACACTTCTGAGATCTTTACCTCGCCGCCTCCCGTAATTCCTTGCTGCATGTGAAATAAGACAGAATAAACTTAGAGTTAGAAATTTCTATCAGATGCAATCAAAACGTTTAAAGGGGTCATGGACTGCCTTTGTTTTTTTTATTTTGTACTGTTCTCTGAGGTCCACTTATAATCCTGTTTGGACCCCCTCATCAGAACGCTCTGTTTGAATAGATGTGGTGGACTGTAGACGCGGAAGTAAATGCCACTGCTGTGATTAACTAACAGTTGTGTGTGTTTCACAGCCTACACAGACGGATGCTGCTGTGATTTAGGTTAAAAATGCAGAAATACTCGGTACATATCAAACAACCTGTAAGAACAGACAAAGCAATAGTGACCACATAATAAAACCAGTCACTCACACTTGTGTGGTGCGACATTACTGTCAGATCCAATATATTCAGCACGGCATCGTCTTTTAGTTTCAATCTTTCTGAAAACCCTGCATCGCCTTGTTTGTAAATGAATCCATGCTAAAATGACATGAACAAAGGACCAAGTTCTTACTGACGCGGTCTGGAACTCCATTACAAATAAAGTTCATCCACTCTTTCCTAATGTTGAGACCAGAAGAAAGGCAATAGCTTGGCACTGAACAGCGGAGCATCTTTATCGTTTGGTTTCTACAGGCAGTGATGTAGAAGCAGGCGCTGATCATCTTCACCGGAGGCAGTGTTTAGCCACACTATTACGACATAAAGTGGCTCATTCCACAACCTGCCGTTTTAGCAGATTGGTTTCAAGATAGGCCGATTTTAGACTAACGAGAACGTGGAGTTCTGAAACTTACAAGATGTTTTTATAGTACAATGACCTCTTAGATGTCAAAAGATCAAGGGAATTTTGATTTCTCAGTTCATGACCCCCTTTAAAACACCATTAGTAATATGGATGATATTTGTATTAAATGCACAATAACACATATCCAAGTATTGGAAAGCATAACGTAACACTTCACGCAGAACAAGCAAGCCATGAAAAATATTTTGGTTTATCACATTTGTGCTTTTCAAATATATAATTTCTTAAATCTTATAATATTAAGCATTATTAAATATGCTTTTTTTTTTTTTTTTTTTAATTGACTAGGGTTACTAGTCATGAAAAACAGTTTCAGACCTGGAAAAGCCATAAAAAAACTTTTTTAGTGAAGTTGGATAAAATATTCAATTCCAGTTAATTATGGGACACAAAAACCTGTTTGGAAACAATCAGTATTTATGCAATTTTTAATTACTAGGGTTTTCACAGTCATGAAAAATGATTTTAAAATTGTGATTTCCATCAAAAGCCTTCTCAAAAGTGGGTGCTTGTGAAAAACATCTTGGAAAATCATTAATAATTCAATTAAATTTCAAAAGTTATTGTAATTTCTATTTAAGTTTTACATATTTATGCAAATATGTGTGTATTTTTTTAATTACTAGGGTTTTCACAGTCATGAAAAAGATGGTAATTTTAAAATTGTGATTTCCAGACCTGGAAATGTAATCAAAAACCTTTCTTAAAAGTGAGTGCCTGTGGAAAAAAGGTCCGTGAATTCATTAATAATTCATGAGAATGTCCTGAAAATTAATGACACTTTACAATTCTTTTGAATTTCAAAAGTCAGTATACATTTTTATGAATTTCAGAATAAATATTTATGCATTAAGTATTAATTTGGGGAATGTCATGAAAATTAATAAAACTATTAATTTAAATTTCAAAAGTTAGTTGTTAGTTAAAGTTTGAAATATGTATATATATATATATATATATATATATATATAAAATGTAAATATTAGTGTGTATATATATATATATATATATATATACACACATTAAGTATTTATGCAAATATTTATGTGCTTATATTTTTTTTTAATTCCTAGGGTTTTAACAATCTTAAAATTGTGATTTCCAGACCTGGAAAAGTCATAAAAAACTTTCTCAAAGGTGGTTGCTGATGAAAATTCATTAATAATTCATACAAAGTCATGAAAATAAACAACATTCATTTAAATTTCAAATGTCAGTATACATCTTTTTTTATATATATATATATATATATTTCAGGGCTTAAAATCACTCTTTGTGAGCGTTACTGAGGAGAAAATTTTTCTTGCAAGTTAGAGATGACATAAGTTCAAATTCAAGTTTTAAGACATTTTAGTCTAATTGGAGAGATTTGTCCATTTCAAGGTCTGTTAATTCCAGCAATTAATGCTGTATATCAGAGGTCCCCAACCACCGGGTCGCGACCCACTACCGGGCCGTGGAAGAATTGCTACCGGGTCGCAAGAACGTTCTGGGAAAAATATGAATAGATATGACACTCTGTTATGTATTTATGTTAATGATTGTTCTAATTATGCTGTATTTTCTTTGTATGCGATTGATATGGAGCAGCAATTAGACAACTTCATGTTAAATAATTAAATGAAAGATTGCTCTGATCTGTCACATATTAGGAGTTAAACGGATCGCAGTTGATCCGTAATACATACGGATGAGACCCTACCGTTCGGCACGCACGTGATTCGCAGATTAATTTGCCAATTTACACGTACAAGCAATTTTAAACCACAAGAAGAAGAAACGAAGGAGAGCTCAATTCGTTATTCACACGCTGTGCTCACACACAATCAAAGCGATCACAACAGACAGCGCGGAAATACCAAGTTGTGTATACATAGGCCTACACATAAAGGCCCAATCCCAATTCTACCCCTTAGCCCTTCCCCTTTTCCCTGAAGGGGTAGGGGTGTCTTAATTCTCTTTTGGTTGGAGGGGTAGGGGAAGGGCCAGACAGCCCTTCAAATGAAGATTTTTCGGGACCACACTTCAAACAAAGGGGTATGAATTATCTCAGCGTAAACCAGCTTCAGGGGCAACATAGCTGCCCGAGCGAACAAAAAGACACATAAATGTAAGCACTTTTGGCATTAATAAAGATTTTAACGAAAAGTAATCATTTGTTTTATGTTACATTCAATCGTGAGTTCATATTTATGGTCATGTTACTCAAAACAAATGTTAGTTTGCTAACTAACATCATATCATTATAGACTGCACGATAGTGCCACAACATATTTTCAAGTCTGATCAGGGCGATAACCACCGCAGACATTGAGGGGGGCTATTCCCCCCAATAATTAGAAATCGCTAAACCCTTTTCTCAAATATTGCCAATTCGAGAGAGAGAGAGAGAGA